TTATCAGTTTTTCACACTTCTGAAATATGTCTGCCAATATCACTCTACTCTTTGTTCCAGTATGGCTATTAAATCTGAGGAAATATAGATTGACATTCTTTTGCCAAAAAAAAAAAAAAAAGCATTTAATGGGATGGTTGTTAGGCCACAAAGTGGTTTGGATTGGTGAGAAAAGGCGGAAAGATTAAACTGCAGGCCCATTTGCTCAGTTTTGATGTAATTTATGCTAACTATGTCTGCATGCAGGACTCAATCATTGAGATACACCATCTCACTATATATCACAGAAAGAAATAAGTGTGGCATATAGTATGCTACTGTGTTTTAAACATCCTTATCTACTTCTACAAATAGTTGACAATGAAAGATAGTGTTTGATTTTTTTCAAGGAATGGAAAACCTGCTTTAGATTACCTAAATATTAAGGACTGAAAAATGGAAGAAGGATACAGAGCAGATAAGTTTAAGCTTTAAATGCAAAGTATTATTCATAAATTATAAACACACATAGGTAACTATTAGTTACTTATATATTAACTATATATATTAAGTTATATATTATCTATAAGTATAATATAGAGCTGATGTTCTTTCTGATAATGGGCAAAAATCTACTTAGAACATGACGTTCTAAGTGTAAATAATTGTAAAAAAAAAAAAAAAAATGTAAAGTATTAATCATATTTAAATTTACTTTAGTAAAAACAGTGAAGATCAGGCATAGTATATCCTTCTGTTCAAAACACAGAAAATGCGCATCAGCATTACTTCTTGCTGGGGAAGTGTGTAAACAGTATATTTGTATATGTACCTCTCAAAAAGTAGCAATGGTTGGCATAGATGTGACTTATTCTTGGTCAAGTAATTGCTTTATTTAAAAAACTGTTTATGTACACTTGTTTTAAAATATTTTGAACATCTTTCATTTATTTTGGAATTACTATCTTCTTCAATATTACTAGGCCTCTGAATAAAACACATATAACTATGTAAAATATTGAAAATATAGCCAGTGAACATCCTGAACAAGTTTCTGTATTTATAGAAACACAGAATTGTTGAATAGCTTGGATTGGAAAGGACCCTCCCTCAGTCTTTCTTTATAAGAGGGGTGCTCCAGCTCACTGATCAACTTTGTGGCCCTCCTCTGGACCCCCTCCCACAATTTCCGTGTCTTTCTTGTGCCAGGAGCTGCAGACGTGGAGGTAGTACCTCAGGTAGGACCTCTCAAGGACAGAGTAGAGGGAGACAGCCACTTCTATCATTGTTCTGGCCATCCTTCCTATGATGCAACCTGGAGTACAGTTGGTTTTCTGGGCTGCAAATATGTACTGCTGGCTCATGTCAAACTTTTCATTTGTCAGGACCCCCATGTCCTTCTTTGCAGGGCTGCTCTCAGTGAATTCTTCTCTCAGTCTTTAAACATATTTGTATTGCCCTGACTCAAGTGCAGCACCTTACATTTGGTCTTGTAGAATCTCATTAGGTTTATGTGGGACCACTTCTCAAGCTTGTCCTTCTGAATGACATCTCTTCCTTTTACACTCTATCAACTGCAGCTCTCAGATTAGTGCAGACAAATATCAAAGGCTTTGCAGAACTCCAGATACGTGACATCAGTTCCTCTTCTTGCTTTCACTCCATAAAAGGCCACTACAATGACTGGGCTAGGTCATCAGCTTTTGGTGAAGTCATGCTGGCTTTCTCATACTTTTCATGTATTTTAATATAGCTTCCACGAAGATCTGTTCCATGGTTTTCCCAGAGACAGACTAGACTCACAAGTTTTCAGTTTGCTAGGTCTTACCTTCTATCACTTTTAGTGGGAATAATGTTTTCCTTTTTTCAGTCACCAGGGACTTCATCTGACAGCTGTGACTTTTCAGCTTTGATGGAGAGTTGCTTGACAACAACTTCTTCCAGTTACTTCAGGATCTTGGGATGTATGTCATTTGAACCCATAGACTTGTACTCATTCACTGTAATGAACTTGAACTTGCACTGCTCTTACTGTGAAGGAGAATCTACTCCTTCAAAAATAGCCTAGAGTTTCAGGGGCGTAATAGACATGGGAAACCTGAGTGCCGCTGAATACTAAGGCAAAAAAACATACTGAGTAAGCCTTCATAGTTGAAATCCTCTATCAGGATGAAAGCCTGTGAGTACAATGCTTTTCGTAGTTGAGGCAAGAAGGTCTCATCAAAAGGTTCTTCTTGATCAGGTGGCTTGTAGTAAACCCTGACTACCAGATGTCTTTTATTGGTCTGATCCCTAATTTTAATCCACAAACTCTCAGCATGATCCTGGCTGTTTCTCAGAGGCAGCTCTTTGCAGTCTCTTACATAGAAGGCAACTTCCCATTTCTCCTACCCTGCCTATATCTTCTAAAAACCATGAAGCCCTCAACTGTAGTGTTGCAGTATTCCATTTGTTCAATTCATTCCAACATGTTTCTATGACCATTATTAGATCATAGTTTCTAATTGCACTACTGTTTCCATCTCTTCCTTTTTATTTCCCATGATGTATGCATTAGTGTAGAGACACTTTAGCTGAGCTACCAGCCATGATACCTTCTTGGAGGGACCCTCTCCCATTTCTTGTTCCCTGTTATGTCCTGAAGTGACTCTGTTCCCTGATTCTTCTTTGCCTCTTTGAGTGGAAAAGTCTAGAAAGTCAATCCCTTTCTTCCTTCACATCTAGTTTTAAGCTTTGTTAATCAGTCCAGCCAGCTTGCTTCCTGGAAGATTGTTGCCTCACCTAGTCAATTGCATCCTATCTTGTGTCAGCGTGCCCTTCTCAAAGTTGCATCAGAGATCATAGAACCCAAAGTCATCATCCATACATCCATACATCCATTTATCCATACATCAAATAATTCACCTGATTTGTTTGCTTCCTTCTTCCTCTTTCCCATTTCATAACAGGGAAGACAGAACACTGCCTGCACTCCTGATCCCTTCAAAATCTTTCTAATCTTTCTTTACTATTTTGTAGTCTCGTTGCAACCTCATGACCCAACTTAAAGGAACAATGTAGTAGTCCTCAAGCAATACACAGCAAACTGAAGCTAAGTTGATCAAATGTTATCCTTTGGTTCCCTACACAGAAATGCACAGGTACTCTGTGACCTTTGTGCCAGGCATTCAGACAACAGGACTTTTTGGAGTAATCTCAAGAAAGAAGCAACATTATTCTCATAATACTGAAAAAATATAACATATATACATTCTTAAGAATCATGCGGTGTTCTGGATAGTCAAACAGAAGTTATTAATCTAATGAATATATACTGATTGCATAAATTAATTTAGCCCATGCTCATTGTCTGATAATACCAACTGTAGTAGATTACAGGTCTTATTTTTAATTTAATTAAATGGACTTGTAACTGTTGTAAAACAATCTGTGAGGAATCAGTGTAAGTAATGTAAAATGATGGCTTGCTGCTGTAGTTGCTGTATGGAGCTTCATTGCTGATCCACTAATGGTAAAAAAACCTTATCTAGGCATAACTCCTTGATAGTTTTCAGTATTTAGAGCAAGTTGGCCCAGGGAACTGCTGATTTTTACAAGGATTGAGCAAAGGATGTGTGTTGTAAACATGGGCTGTCTATATATATGTTGATAAAGCACTTTTAAGGTCTCTGATGATACAGAAAGAGAAAGTAAAATAATATGTGATTCATTATGACTTCTCAATGCAAAGTGACCTTCTATACAGCCAGTAACATGGCAGACATAAGCATGTACCATCTACCATTTATTTAGCATTTGCCCAACTGTATATATACATCAATCTTAGAGGAAACAGTACAGCACTGAATTCTCCTAGTGAAGCATCAAGGATAAGAGGAAAAACTTCAGTACACATAAGCCTATTGAGGCCAAAGGTGCTGCACTTCAGTCAGGGCCATCCCAGATGTGTGTACAGATTGAGAGAAAAATTCATTGAGAGAAGCCATGCACAGAAAGACATAGGGATCCTGACAGATGAAAACCTTGACATGAGCCAGCAGTGAGTGCTTGCAGCCCAGAAAACCAACTGCACCTCGAGGTGCATCGAAAGAAGTATGGCCAGTGGAGTGACCAAAGAGTCTGTCCCACTCTGCTCTGCCCTCAAGAGGCCCTACCTGGAGTACCACGTCTGGGTTTGGGGCTCCCAGCACAAGAAAGAATAGAGCTGCTGGAGGGGGTCCAGAGAAGGACCATGAAGATGATCAGAAGGCTGAAGCACCTCTCTTATGAAGAATGGTGGAGGAAGCTTGTTTTGTTTAGCCTGGAGAAGCCCTCAGAGAGACTACATTGTGGCCTTTCATTTTTTAAAGAAATCTTATCAAGAAGGTGGAAACCAACCTTTTAAATGGGAAGATATAGATAGGACAAGGAAATAGAAAATCAATAATCATTACACTTTCCCTTGTTCCCTGATTAGTATTGATATGAACTATTTGTCTAGAGCCAAAATGAAAAATAACAGTGATAATAAAAGAAAAAAGAAAACTCATAAAAAACAAGATTTTTTTCTTTTGGAAAAGCTCTTCAGTTTTACTTTTTATTTAGTAAGCAGAATACTGAGTTTTTGAACATGTGCATGTCGTAATAGATCGATATAAAAATGTTTATCCACCTTCTTCCCGGTGTTTTTAGGATTTCTGACATTTTTCTCATTCCCTGCTATATTGCTCACTTGCAAAGCAACAAAAAAAAAAAGTGATGCATACTGTATCCTTGCCTTTCTGAAGAGAAGGCAGTTACCTTGGACTTGAAGAGCTTATGTTTAAAATTTGTGATGAGAATTTCAGATGCATAAAATCTAAATGCTTGAGATGATACTATACAATATGCTACTAGATGTGCCAAAGTAATAATTTTCTTTCAAAATCAAAATGTTTTCATGGTAAAGCGATTGGGGCATAGCGTTTGTAAACTTCATAAATACAAATATGTAGTGTTTATATAAAAAATTTCTGTTCTTTCTCTCCTTTTCTCTTTTTAAGTCTATTGACCCCGGTCAACAGTTTACATGGGAACACTCTAACCTGGAAGTAAACAAACCAAAGAACAGATATGCAAATGTAATTGCATATGACCATTCTCGTGTTCTACTCTCAGCAATTGAAGGTAAGGAGAACTTTACAATTAAATTAAATAAATACTAAAATCCACTGTAATTCTAGCTCCAAATATCTTTGCATGTAAAAATAAATAAATACATAAATAAATAAAACAAAATAGATTTTTAGTTAAAATTAGTTACTACCAGTACATTTCTATAATGATAATCCTCTGACTTTCATTTACAGTAGTTCACTATGAAACTGCAGTAAAATTGACGCAGGGTCACACACAGTACCAAATGATAATAGCACCAGGTCTCTGTATGTATGCCAAAGTGTTACCTAAAGTAAACCGTCATTGCTGTTTATTTGTGCTATTTCTGGAGAACAAATAGAGCAATTGTAAATGAATTAAGGTTCTTACCTAGCAATAACATTTTCAACATACTTGATTATAGCGTTTCAGTTGCTTAATCTAGGAAGGAAAATAAATCTATTCAACTTCGTGTTTTCAGGGACAATATGGATATCTGTATTAAAACTTTCTTTTTATTTCTTTTTCATTTATAAAGTGAATATTAAATGAAAGTATTTAAACAAATGCACTTATGCAAACATTGTTGGAACTTCAGTACTTTACTACCAAAATTTTGGCAGAGGGGTATAATTACTTATTATCTTTTTTGGTCACATAATTCCCAAAAAAAACATGAACGTTTTAGATTCTTGACTTAAACTGTCAAAAATGACCAGCCTTAGGTATTTTATCTGTTTTAACAAGAGCTAAATCAACTCAAATTTCTTGTTTTCACTCAAGGGATTTTTTTTTTCTTATCAGTTTTGTCTTAAGATTAAGCTTCTTCCAATATGTGGCCGGATTTGCATTTAATTCTACATCATTGACAGTTATTAATCGTGGTCAGAATAAAACAGTTTATATATTAAATTGGAATTGTTTATATGAGAAAAAAAAAAAAAAAAAAAAACTATCTCAGTTACTTTAACGGTGCTTGTGTATTATATATAAGATCTTGGGTATTCAAGATCATAATTTGAAACTAATATGCTACTAGTTAAACTGCAGAGAATTTAGATTTACGGTTATAAACAGTTTCTTGTATTTGGCTACCTCAGACTTGAAGACATTGGATACAGAAGGGGCAATATTAATAGGTGTCAACAATTTTATTAACAGCTGCTTGGTGATGAAAAAAGCAGGGTCAATGACTGAGGCTTAGATCTTTACTTACTGCAAATAGGTTTGAGGTCTTGATTATACGGATAAAAACTTCTCAAAGATATTAGAAAATTCAGTAATACACTTGAAGAATTTGCACCTGATAGTCTGCATACATTTGTTCCGTCTCTGAAGCTTGAGATGTAGTACTGACAACATTTTTTTTTTTTTTTTAATGGCACAATATTTTGCATTGTTTAATTAAAAAAAAAAAAAAATAAGTAGCAGTATAGAGCAGTGCTGCCTACTGATAGAACTATGGCTCAACACTGATAAAATGATTTTAATTCGTGTTATATTCAGTGCAATTCAAGAAAAGAATCCCATTCTGTGTCACTGAAATAGAGATACATGGTCAAGAAAAATCAACAATTGGACAGCTACTCTAAATTGTTATGTAAAGTTGTTTGAACAAAATGTTTAACCCAGGAATAAGTCTGTTTAACAAGATTTTCACAGGACAAAGAGTTATGTAGCAGAAGGGAATAAAGAAAAGAAAAAAAAAAAAAACAGGAAAAAGTATAATTGCAAATCCATTTATTCATTAATTTTAAGCAAATCAGACTTCTGGGGTTAGAAAATTCTGCCAGGTTCCCCTTTTTGTCAGTGACTCATGAAATTTGGCTCCCTGAAAGAAAACAAACTCACTCCGAGAATAAGAATAAAAAACTTAGGGGAAAAACAAAACAAAAAAAAAAATCAGAGTAACTGAAAGTATCAATTTATACAGTATACCTGTTAAAATAATAAATATTAAGAATATGAAAAATAAATAAATCTCATTTATGAATACAGTAATGAGCAGAGGCAATATACATTTATAATATTTCTCAATGTCATGATGAAGTGAACACTTCTAACACTAACACTCACTGACTTTAAATAAATAGAAATACTATAGCCCTATGGGATGTCGGTGTTGAATACAGAACAACAAATGAGATTTTTATCCATCTGGTGCACAAATTCCCTACCAGGGAATCATAGAATCACAGAATCAAAGAATAATTAAGTTAGGAAGGGAACTCTTGAGGTCACGTGATCCTTCCCATCTGCTCAAATGAGGAAATATAGAGCAGGTTGTGTAGGAAGAAGTCTTTCAAAGATCACCCAGGAGAGAGAATTCACAACTATCCTGGGCAACCTGCTCCAGTGCTCCATAACCTACACAGTAGACTGCATCCCGTGTTCCATTTTGTGCCCATTGTCTCTTATTCTGTCACTGGATATCACTGAAAAAGGCATGGTACTATCTCCATTGCATCTTCTTTTCAGGTATCCAGGTACACTGATAAGAAATAAATATTTTGAATATAAGTTTAAAAAAAAAATCTGTAGGTTACTATACAAGTTAATCAAGGTCTAAATTTGGCCTTCAATGCATTGTGTTACAAATATATGAAGAATCTTTGTTTGGATTTCACGTACAATTCTATAATATAGTCTTTGGGTACATCAGAGAGGGCACTTGAAAGAAAAGTGAAATTTTCTGTTATAATGAAAAAATAAAAGAACATATTGAAGTTTACTGTATTCATCTATGTGAATCTGAGCCCAAAATTTACAGATTAACAGACAAAATTAGACAAATGTAAAACAGCAAGCTCTATATTCTTTAACCTCTAAGGAATAAAAAAACTCTGGGGAAGAAATTGATTAGAAATTCAGTATTTTAAAAATGATTGTCAGTTCTTATAGTAGATGTCCAAGACGTAAGGTCTGCCATGTGGCATAGCTTTACATAATGCTAGTGATGAAAAAAAGTAAAAGATATCTAAATCTATCATATTTCAGCAGAGTGTAGAATCATAGAATGGTCTAGGTTGGAAGAGACCCTTAAGATCAAGTTCCAACCCCCCACTATAGGCAGAAATACCTTCCAGTGGACCAGGTTGCTCAAAGCCCCATCCAGCCTAGTTTTAAGTGCCTCCATGGTAGGGGCATTCACAACCTTTCTGAGAAACTTGTTCCATTGTCTCAACACTCTCACAGTAAAAAATTTCTTCCAGAGATGTAGTCTAAATCTGCCCTCTTCTAATTTAAACTCATTTTGTGTTGTCCTTTCATTACATGCCCTTTTAAAAAGTCCATCCCCAGCTTTCCTGTAGGCTCTCTTCAAGTACTGGAAGTTCACTGTGAGGTCTCCCTGGAGCCTTCTCTTCTCCATACTGAAGAGCCTCAACTCTCTCAGCCTGTGCCCATAGGATAGGTGCTCCAGCCCTCTGATCATCTTCATGGCTCTCTTCTGGACTTACTCCAATACCTCTATGTCATTCTTGTATTGGGAGCCCCAGAACTGAATGCAGTAGTCCAGATGGAATATCAGGGGAGCAGAGTAGAGGGGCAGAGTTATCTCCCTTCACCTGCATGTCACTCTTCACCTGCATGTCACATCAAGAGAGATGGAGCCCAGGATACAGTTGTCCTTGTGGTCTGCAAGTGCACATTGGCGGCTCATGTTGGTTTTCATCAACCAACACTTTCAAACCCTTCTTCTCAAGACAGCTGTCAAGCCATTAACCAACCAGCGTGTACTTGTGCTTAGGATTGCCCTGACCCAGGTGCAGGACCTTGAACTTGGCCTTGTTGAACTTCATGAGGTTGGAATGGGCCCACTTCCAATCCTTTTCAGGTCCTTCTGGATGGCATTCCCTCCCTTCAGCGTGTCAGTTGCACTACTCAGCTTGTAGTCATCTGCAAACCTACTGAGGATGCACTCGATTGCACTGTCCATGTTGCCTACACAGATGTTAAATAACACTGGTCCCAGCACTGATCCCTGAGGAAAACCACTCATCACTGATCTCCACCTGCATATTGAGCCTTTGACCAAAACTCTCTGAGTGTGGCCATCCAGCCAATTCCTTATATATTGAGTTCTCCATCTATCAAATCAATTTGACTCTAGTTTGGGAAAATTTCTCAAGTTTGGCAGGGACCATGACATCTCATGAGAGACCATGTCAAATGCATTGCACAGTTCTGGTTGGATGACATCAGCTGCTCTTCCTTTATCAACTGATACTGTAATTCCATCATAAAAGGCCACCAAGTTTCTCAGGCATGATTTGTCTTTGGTAAAGCAATGTTAGTTATCACCAATCACCTTATCTTAAGTTTCCATATGCCTTAGTAGGGCCTTCAGTGGGGTCTGTTCCATGATCTTGCCAGGCATAGAAGACTGTGTCCTGTTGTTCCCTTCATCTTTCTTTTTTTCCTTCTTGAAAATGTAGGTTACGTTTCCCCTTTTCCAATCAGTGTGAAATTCACCAGACTACCACCACCTTTTAAATATGATGGATAGAGGCATGGCAGCTTCATCCACCAGTTCCCTCAGAACCCATTGATGGATCTCAGCAGGTCCCATGTACTTGTGCACCTTAATTTTTTTTGATGTGACATTTAGTGGATTTAAACTTCTACTACATCTCTGACTATAGTATAAATGATTTATATAATGAAAAAAGTAAGAACCTACAAGTATTGTTATTAATTTGACTGCCAGTTAATAGTCTGTTAGCATCAAGTGTGTAGGTCATGATCTGTAGATTTAGAAAGAAATCTGGTCAATATATATCATTAAACAGCTCTGGAATATACAAATTGTTCTCACTTTCTCACATTGTAGCTACACTGTATTCTGCTAAAAAATATAATTAAATGCCATTTATCTTCTACAAGTATAGACTGCTATAAGAACTGCAAAAGTGTTGTAGTGATAATAGGTTACAGAAGAATGATTTAGAGTAGACTTCAACATGAAAACCTCAGAAGCAATGCTTAAAGAAGTTGTATGGGTATAATTCTGGCCTGTGAATTTGCTTATG